TTTACCCTGTTGCCTTATGACTACAAAATGATGTTGAAACAAACTTTAGTGACTTTAGATAAAATGTAGATAATGAAACTTGTGCTTCTTTGAAACTTCAGATTGTTTTAAAAGGAGGTGTATTTCGGCTGTAAAATTTATTATTTTTTTTTTTAGAAAAAAAGATAAACATAACGATGTATTAGTTTTCAGACAGGAACTCACTGTGTAGCCCCAGTTGGCCTTGACACACAGTGAGCTTTCTGCCTCAGCCTCCTGAGTGTTAGGGTTATAGGGGTGTGCCACCACACTCAGCATTGTTGTTTGTTTTTGAGACTGGGTCTTCTTATGTTGTCCAGTTAGGCTTCAAACTCCTGGGCTCAAATGATCCTCCTGCCTCAACTTTCTGAGTAGCTGGGACCACAGGCCTGTGTCACATGCCCTGAAATTATTTAACTGACTTTCAGAATATTGTAAATTCAATAAAAAGTTTTTCATGAATATGCTTGTGATCGTTGATTGTGTGCGCTTGAGTAAGCAGCGCCCACCCAGACTGGCTCAGCATTGTCCTGGGCAGGGGACCCTCCCCAGGGAGGATGTCACCAGAATGATACTAAAGTGAAAGGAAGAAGGAAGGATCGCTGTTTGCTTGGGAGGAGCTCCAGCCTGTGCTCCCATCTTGGACGCCGTCTCCTGGCTTCCAGAGCAGACTTCACCCCGAAGCACCGACCTCCTGCCTCCTGCTACGGACTCATCCGGGACACAGAAGAGGGCTGCAGGCCTTCGACCTCTTGCACTCTGTCACACCAGACTCCGGGCAGCCACCGTAAGCCAGTCTGTAACTTGTATATTTGTGTAGCTCGTAGTAAGTCTGTTTTCTGTAGTAAGCACAATTTGTCTCCATATATTACATGCTAGTCCACAAATATGTACAATTTTATATTTGTATCAGAATGAATTTAAATTGAAAAGTAAACTAAAACAACACAGCAAGTAGCCCCACTACAATCGAAACTAATAGCTGAGCTGCAAATAAATTATTACCTGTGTCTAGGTCATCATGATTTTTTTTTTTTCAGACAGGATCTTCTATGGACTTCAGGCTGGCCTCGAACTCTCAGTGATCCTCCTGTCTCAGCCTCCCAAATGCTGGGATTACAGGCACGCGTCACCACACTCAGCTCCTTGGTGTTTTGGATTGCTTTTCTCTGCTTTCTACCTACATTCCATTTTTCTGTTGGTTTGGGGGTGTCAGTGAGCTCAGAGGTAGAGCACTTATTTAGCAAGTCGAAGGACTTGGGATCACCGCCAGGGATAAAACAAAACCAAAACATAGCTTTTGTGTGTTACCCAATATTACTGCAGCAGCTTTCTTGAGGTATAATTTAGATAGCATATAATTTACTCATTTAAATTGTACAATTGAATACTTTTTAGTATATTCACAAAATCGGGCAACATTCCCATAGATAATTCTTAAACTTTTAAAAAAATCATTCCCAAAGCTATCCAACCTAGAGAGTTCGGTCTTTTATTACATAGTAGCTCCCTTTACCCATTTTTTTTCTTTCATACTATGTCTCTATTTAAAAAAAATTGTAACTACAGTCTTTTATAAAAGGGTATTTTTGTTTATCAATACATATTTAGTGCAATGAATGATACATTTAAATAGCTACTACATATTTTGTGCTTCCTATTTTTAGCCTTCATTTATCATAGAAATTGGAGTTGTATCACTTCTCTGCCTTTTGGCTGAGTTCAAGTATTGAGTAGGTATTGTATTTTTTTCAAACATTTCTCTTCTTAAATCTCTGAGATGGTCCTGTTGGATTCATTTGTTCGGATAGTGGATGCGAAGATTTTTTCCTCATGTGAAGCCACCCTTGTCTTCCTAAAACAAACTGAATTTCTTGACTGTTAAAAAAAAAAAAATACTAAGGGGGGCTGGAGAGATGGCTCAGTGGTCTAAAGCACCTACTTGGAACAAGCTTGGCAAAGCATCAGGGACCGCGGTTCGATCCCCCAGCACCACATGCCAGCCAGCACCGCCCCCTGGTGGGCTGAGCTGGCCACACACACATACACACTCAATAAAAATGTAATAAATAAATAATTAAAAAAATACTAAGGGTTTAACGTCTATCACTGAAAAAATAAAGTGAAATAAAAGTGTAAATTAAAAAAAAAACTAAAAAAAAAATACTGTAGGGTCAGAGAGATAGCTTGGCAGACTAAGAGCCTGCTTGGCAAGTGCAAGGTCACTGAAATGGCGTGGTGGCACACACCTATAATCCCAGCGCTTGGGAGGCTGAAAACAGGAGGATCACTATGAGTTCAATCTGTGTAATGAGACCCTGTAGACTCTATACAAATATATTACAGAAAAAAAAAAAAAAAAAGCTTCTGTCTGAGCAAGACAAAAGGGTCCCGAGTGGGTTGCTGTGGATCCTGCTTCTCAAGGGAGTTTTGCAGAGCAAAACCTCGAGGTGAGGTGGGTATTGCATGCGTCAAAATGATAGTCAACTACTAAGCTTTCAAGTATAGGCACTTGGTGAACAGTCATCCAAAGGGAAATTGCAAGGTGGGACAGAAGCAGTCAAGATTATGAGTCTAACTGCAGGAAATATTAAAGGAGGGTCAATTGGAAAAGCAAGTCAAGTAGCCAAGTACACTTGGACTGCCCCATGGACTTTCCCTGGAAGGTAGGGCTTGGTCCCCCACCCAAGGTGACCAATGCCTATTTAGAATATCAATGTCTGCTGTCCCCCCCAAGGGGGAGTACGTGGGTGTAGTCATTTCCTGTATCCCCAGGCCTTACCTTCAAATTGATGATGCACCTCTAGCCACAGCTGTCTCCTGCACGGTCCTTTCCCAAGGGCCTGATCCTGTCTGACTGTAATATTTCTAAATAACTTAGCTGTCTATAATAAAAACATTAAAAACTTTCCCATTGTTTATTATAAACAGAAATGAAAAAATAGTATTCTGATTCTTATTTAGTACAATTTAGTTCAATTTAAAATATTAGAAGCACAGGGGCTGCCGGGATGGCCCAGTGGTCTAAAGCACCTACTTGGAACAAGCTTGGCAAAGCACAGGGACCGCGGTTCGATCCCCCAGCACCACATACCAGCCAGCCCCGCCCCCTGGTGGGCTGAGCTGGCCACACACACACACACACACACACACACACACACTAAATAAATGTTTAAAAAAAAAGAAATTCAAACAAAATATTAGAAGCACAAAAAAAGGAAATGGAGCTGAGGACCAGCTCAGTGGCACAGCACCTGTCCAAGGCTGGGGGTTCAATTTCCAGCACCAGAAAACCCTCCCCCGACACCTCCTGGCAAAACCAAACCGCACTGTGGGCAGCCACTCCACTCCTCCAGTTCTAGAAGCGTCTACTCTCCATCTGTCCCCTTGGATTCTCCTGTTGTGGGTATTTCAAGTACCTGGAATTACACAGTATGTGACCTTTGGGTCTGGTTTCCCGCCCTTAGCATGATATTTTCATGATTCATCCCCATGCAGCCTGTGTTAAGTCTTGTATTCCTTTTCTGGCCAAATAATATCCCATTGTGTGGGTGGGATGCACATTTTGTTCCTCTGTTCATTAGACAACGAACATTTGGGTTGTTACCACTTCTGGCTATCATGCATGATGCTCCGGAGGATGTCAGCCCGAGAGTTTCTCCGTGGGCATATTATTTTGTCTATATTTCACAGCAGAATCGTGCCATGGGTCTCCTTGGGCTGGCCTGCAATTCACCACAGACCCCAGGCTGACCTCCAGCTGCTGCCAGTCATCCTGACTCAGCGTCCCAAGTGCTGGGATTAGATCTGGGACACTAACGGGCCACTATGGCAGGACAGGTCTTGCGGTTTTTGAAGAACTGCCAGTGTTTACAAAGCAGATTTACACTCCCAATTTTGGACTAAGGATTTCAAGTTCTTCACATCCTCAGCAAGCCCCAGCTTTTCATTTGTTTACTTTCGTCATCTTAGTAGGTTGTAGTGGTTTCCACTGGCATTTCCCTGATGGCTAATGATGTTAAGCATCTTTTTATGGCCGTACTTATTAACTCGTGAGGCCTGCTATGGGAGAACTATGGCTTTGGATCCGCAACAAGTTTCTCCTGAATTTGTGCGTAGATTGGTGGAAGAAACACCTCACGATAAAGCCCGGTTGCGCTGACATGGTGAACAAAAGGCTATGAATTTTTTCAAAGAACGACGTTCAAGTCTACCCCAAATAAAAAGTTATTTCAAGCAGAACTTGCAGCAAGAAAAATAAAGTAAGCTGACGGGTTATTTCAGCCTAAGGAAGTGGGCTGTTGGGTCTGAGTCTGACACACAGTCCAAGTAAGCAGATCTACAGAAAAAGCAAGCCAAGCGTAAGGTCTTCATGAGGAGGACACTAACATCATCTTACGTAAAACTTCCAATACAGGTTGAGTTAGAAGAAAAAGAAAACTACGGGCCTCAATCCAGTACAGCTGGAGAAACCCAGACTTTAATCTACAGTCTCGCTCCTCCTCCTCCGGTGCCGCAGGTGGCTGTCGCGGGGGCAGCGCGCGATGCGGGAGGGAAACTGAGGCCCCGCTCTGAGCGATGTTAACTGAAGCCTGTAAACCGCCTGTTCAAACTCGCCAAAACCCTGCCCGCCCAGGAGAAGCTGACCCCCGCCCCCCCCGGCCCCCCCGCCCCCCCCGCCCTCAAAGCCACCGTTCCGCCTCATCAGGTTCCTTTGGGACCGCAGCCCCCACTGCCACCTCTAGACCACTATAGGTAGCTGCGGAAGGCGCCTCGAGTGACACTCCAACGCGCGCATCCGGACTCTGAACCTAACAGTCCTCGCCCGCGCGCCAGGCTGTGCTGGAGGCCCCGCCCCATTACCACAATTTCATTGGCTCTGCTGCCCGGCCCCCGACTGTCGGCTCCAGATTGGTCGGCTCCGCCGCCGCTCCGCTTTCTTCCGGGGGCGCGCGGCGAGCGTGACCACGCCTCTTACGTCCAGACGCTTGGTGGCCTCGGGAGGCGCCGTAGTCTCCTCGCAGAAGGAAGGAAGGAAGGTGGCTGTCGAGGAGCTGCTATGGTGCTGAGTTTCCTGGCAGAGCCGACCGAGTCGAGACGGTCGCGGCCATGAAGGTGAGGGGCTGGTGGAGCCCCGCTGGGCCTCCTTGCCTCTCCCGTCGCTCAGAGCGCCCGCTCGCTTCCCCCCTTAGCGGTTACCCCGCCGACTCCGCGGAGGGGGCGCCGGCCGGCGTCTGGGTCCCGGCCTGGCCCTGGGCGGCGCGGCAGCGCTCCCGGCAGCTTCGTTGCGCCACCCGCCAGCAAGCTGGGGAGGGGGCGAGGCCGGATAACCCAGCGCTCGCCCCTGGGGGTCCCGGTGTTCGCCCAGCCCTCCCCGCCTTTGCCCGGCCTGCCTGCTCCCGCCCGAGTCCTTGAACTCACCCAGATGTCGGGAGCATCACGGGACGGACGGCGACAGAGCGGGGCGAGCGCCCGTCGGGGGCCGGGCGGACAGGTAGCGGCCGCGGCGGGCGGGGATCCACTCCGAGGGGTCCGGAAGGCTGAGCGCCCGGGCCAGAGTGAGCGCGCCGCAGGTCAGTGGGCAGCTGTTGTACGGGCTCGAGCGGCACCATAAGTTTTAAGACTGGAGGAAAAAGGGAAGACCCTGGCCTACTTTTAGAGGTGGTTCTCACTTGATCTGCGCACGACAGGCCATTCTCGCGTCGATTCGTGAGCCGAACTCCCGAACTCTGACGGAGTGGGGTGAGTCATAAGGCCATACTTTGACAGAGACGGCTTCCTTAATGTCAGCGAAGAAGTGTGTTTGAGGTGGGTAAGGAGAGTAACCGAGGGAGCTCTAGATTGTCTATACAGAGCATACAGGATTCACTGGGGAAGATTGAAAAGGGAGTGTCGGGTGGCCAAAGGAATCCAGGTATTCCGCTGGGACACTTCCCGTGTGGTTTATCAGAGAGAGACACACACATTCAGTGAGTAGAATGCAAGACAGCTTTTGGGAAGGGGTTTGCCAAACAAGAAAGGCATTTGCACGTTGCAGACTTCCCAGGCAGATTGATACATCAAAAAAATACAAAGTGCAACACCTCAAAAGCAAGAAAAGTTACCTATTGTAGGGCTGTTGGTTTGCACTAGATAACTTTTGACCCTTCTTTTGAAGCATAGGGTTTTGTAAGAATTTTTGTTTTGGTCTGGTGTGCCCGTGCACACTTGGATGGAGTCCCAGCACTTGAGGGAGGCTGAGGCAGGGGGATTGCTGCAAATTCAAGGCCAGCCTAGGGGACAAGTTTGAAGGCAGTCTGAACTGAAAAAAATTTTTTTTTGCTTGTTTATGTTTCTGGTTTTTTTGGAGACAGGGTCCCTATGTACTTCAGGCTGGCCTTGAACTCAGTATGTTGTTCATGCTGGCCTCAAAGTGGAGGTGATCCTCCTGCCTCGGCCTCCTGAGCGCTGGGATTATAGGTTCAAACCACCATGCCTGGCTCAGAGACCTTGCTTTTCGCTTTTTACCTTATTTATAAAGTAGTTTAACTTAGGGACCCTTATTTTATTTGATTTGATGAAACTGGGGATTGAACTCAGGCTTATTCTACTGAGCTACCTCCCTGGCCCAGTCGTTTACCTTAGAATAGCTATTAAAATACCTACGTGCTAGCTTTGGCAGCACATAGCCTAAAATGCCTAGATCCAACTTTATTTGCTCAAAAATTAAGGGTTTGCTGTGTTAAGAGCCAAAAAGAAAGCAGAAATCTTCATATATAGTGTGTCAAAGACTGTCATTATCTTTATTTGTGGACCATCAAGGAAATAGATATGGAAGGAGAGTTAGGCATAGGTCTAATTTCAAAGTTTTTCCCAAACGGACTTTTTTTTAGTTTTTACTGTTTTCTTTTTTGGTACTGGGAATTGAACTCTGGGCCTCCCGCATGCTAGGCAGGCACTGCGCTGCTAGTTGCATTCCCGGCCCTCAAAGATTTTAAATACTTCTTTAAGAACAAGTAGTTTTTAGTTTATGTGGAAGATACTGCTTTCTGTGTTGAAATTTTAGAGAAAAAATGCTGTTGCTCTGTAATTCAGGGCAGCCTGGAACTCACTGTCACTAGCCCAGGCTAGTCTTGAACTCATGGTGATCCTCCTACCTCAGCTTCCGGAGCACCGGTATGACAGGCAGGTGCCACCATGTTCAGCTGGAAGTTAACATGTCGGAAACCAAATGTAAACCTGAATAACCAGGTTTGTGCAGGATGTTATAAACGCCACTTTCATTTATGGTTTTGGGCAACTGCATTCACAGAATTGAGGATTTGGCAAGTTGTTTATTACTCAATTTCATGTTAACTTACACTGACATTGTTCATTTGTGAATGTTCTCACCTGTGGATATCTAATTTTTTTTTTTTTTTTTGGTGGAACCAGGGATTGAACTCAGGCCCTTGCGCTTGCCAGGGATGTACTTATTCCACCGAGCCATCTCCCTGGCCCCTGTGGGCATCTAATTAATTAAGGCAATTGGTTCCTGAGGCGGTGGGATTCTAGTGTGAATATTCATATAAGCAAGGACTTCTTCAAATAAATTTAAGCTTAAGAGCTGAACAATTAAATAAGAATATCTTCAAACTTATAAGCAATTGATTTTTGTGTGGAATGGCTATTTAATTTTGTTTAGATTTGACTTGTTGGTTGATTAACCTTGAGTTCATCTAATTTCCCATGAGGGGCTTTTGAGATGAGATCTTGCTGTATAGTTCAGACTGGTCCTCAACTGGCAGTCATCTTCCTGCTTCTGTCTTCTGAGTGCTAGGATTACAAATGTGTGCTGCCATGGCCAGTTTATAATGGTTTAAAATTCCAAATTGGTGTCTTCTTAGCTTGATTTAATCCTCTAATCCTGTTTTTCCATGTTTATGTTGATCTCATTCTTAATTGTGCTCATCACGTTCATTCTTCCAAACTCAAAATGATATAAGAAAAAGTAATCTTCTAAGTATAATTCTTCCTTTTTTCCTCTGAAAGGTACAGGGTGTGGTTTTACAAAAAGCTCAAATTCTGGCAAGCTGAGGCTGAAGAACGGCAAGCTTGAGCCCAGCCTGATGACTTAGCAAGACCTGGTCTCACAAATGGGAAGGGCTGAGAGGTAGTTCAGTGCAAAGGCGCTGCTTCAGCCCCCAGCACACAACACAACAAAAGCAAGCCAACAAAAAACTCAACATGAGGAAAACAGCATTTCTGCTGTAGCAGGGCATGGTGGTGCCTGCCTGTCATCCCCACACTGGGGAAGCTGAGGCAGGAGAATACCAGTGAATTCAAGGCCAGGCTGCTGTATAGCCAGAACCTCTCTCAACAACAACAGAGAGAGAAAGAAATTCTGCTGTATAGTGTATATTATAGTAAAATTTTACCAATTTGATCAATGTCTTGCCTAAAAATAATTGTGTTTTAAAGGTCAACATCTGTTTTCGAATGTAGAATTTATTCCTTTATTGGCTATCTGGCCATTAAAAAGGCAAGTTCTCTGCATATTTTGTGTTTTTTTTTTTTTTTTTCGGAAATGGGGATTGAACTCAGGCCCTTGCACTTGCCAGGGAAGTGCTTATTCCAGAGCCATCTCCCTGGCCTTTGCATATTTTGTTTGAAGCAGCAGTTTTGATAAGAAAACCTTTCACATTTGAATGATTCTGTCTCATCTAAATGGGGGAAGATTTTGCTTATTTATTTCAGGCATTTTCTTCAGCTTTGCTTGAAGTTCTTTAAGCGTGTTTAACCTGAGGTTCACACTACAGAAAATATTTTCTTCTATCAGTGGTGCTAAGATTTTTTTGTTGTTGTTCATATCCTTTATTATAGCAATTTAAGAATGAGAATTGGAGATGATACATGATTCGAGGTGGGAATGGGGACTGAGTGGAAGCAGGCAGGAGAGATCTTATTGCAGTGATGTTAATGTACACAGTATGAACAAGTTTTAACTTTGGGGGTAGGGTGTTGCTGGGGCCTGAATCAGGGCCTTGTGCATGTGAGACAAGTGCTCTAGCGCTGGATAGCTTTTCTATCTATCCATCCATCCAACAGGATCAAGTACCCACTGTGTCCCAAACAAGTAGGCCCCTCTCGGATGTCATACTGCTTCTCTGTGCCTTGCTCTCTTTGCTCACACCCCTCTCCAGCCTCCTCTAATTGGTTACTCAGCCTTTATGATCTCCACACTGTATCTTCAAGTGAAATTCCCCAGAGGCTCTAAGGATGACCTCCCGTCCCCACCCCCATAGTCCTGCCATCACCTGCCCCTTGTACAGTAATTCTGGCCAGAGTGTTTGCCTTTCTTACATGCAGGGTGGGAAATGTGGTGCTAGGATTTGAAGCCCTTTTCTTTAAACACAAAGGCTCTTTGGGTAAGCCAGTGATTGATTAGTGATTGGAGAACTTGGTGTTAAGACCAGGTAGTTGGCAGCAGAGATAAAAATCATGTTTTTTTTTTTTTTTTTTAATCTTTTATTTGTTTGGGTCTTGTAGTGATCCTCCTGTCTCAGCCTCCCCAGTGCTGGGATTACAGGTGTGCATCACCATGCCAGGTTTCAGTGGCTGGCAATGGCATATCCAGGGCTCCAGGGCCAGCATTGCATGAAGTACTGGGGGTCAAACCTGGGTCCTTGTGCCTGCTAGGCAAGTGCTTAGACCACCGAGCTATCTCCCCATCCCCATATTCTTTGCTTCAAGACAGGGTTTTGCTATATAATTCCTGGCTGCCCTCCAGCTTCCATGGTAGGTACAAAGGAGAAATCACTTCTGGACTCAGCAGGCCTTGACCTTTGAACCTGGGCCACATAGGTGTCAGTCACCAGAGAGCAAAAATAAATCTGCTCAGGCTGCATCCCACACCAGCAAAGCCAGGCACTCCAGGCCCAAGCATCTGAATGTTAAGACTGTAGTGTGTCAGGGTCAGCCCAGGTGGAGAAGTGTGTGATAGGTCAGGTCTGGCCCAGTGTTCCCTTGGACAGAGGTGGCGATGGCAGCTGCGGGGGTATAGGACAGAGCTGCTGGCTGCAGTGCAGAGGAGTACAAGGCACTGAAGAAGCCACTATCATTTCAGCAGCAGCACCAGGAGGTGGGGCAGAGTGGAGAAGTGGACACAGCCTGGACCAAATAGGCGGGCAGGGCAAGGCATACCTGGGAAGCATGGCCCCTGCTCCTCGGCCTCAGCTGCTGAGTGCCAGAGGGACATGATGCTGTGGGTGCCTCAGGGCAGGGCAGTGACTCCCCGTGAGCTCCACGCTTAGGGAGTTTTCGTTGGGACACTTACTTCTTAGAGGAAGTTTTATCCAAACTTGGGGGTCCCAGGTCTTCTTCAGTTGCAGCTTCATTTGCCGGTGGGGCTTCTTGCACTCCTGGGGTCCTTGCTGACGGTAGTAACTGGATCTGCACTATGCAGCTATGTTTGGGGTTCAGGCAGCGGAGTTTTGGCTGGGACTCTTGGGGAGTCTACACAGGCTTTTTTGTCTAGCACTGAGTAGCTATACTAGATGAACTGCTTTTTTGTTGTTGTTGGAACTGGGGATTGAACTCAGACCCTTGCGCTTGCCAGGGAAGCGCTTATTCTACTGAGCCATCTCCCCGGCCCCCTGCACAGGCTTTTTTGGCTTTATTTTTTAAAATTTCTATGAGACAGCTGAAAGTGGACAGTTTGTTGTTATAGTAGCAACAAGTAGGCAGGATAGCCTCTTGCCCCAGCCTCTTGCCTCAGCCTCCTGAATGCCAGGCATGCGGGGCAGGGGTGTGTGTGTGTGTGTGTGTGTGTGTGTGTGCATGCAAGCTTCCTTTGTTTTTTTTTTTTTTTTTTTTTTTTTTGCGGAACTGGGGATTGAATTCCTTTGTGGTTTTTTTTGTGGAACAGGGGATTGAATTCAGGCCCTTGCGCTTGTCAGGGAAGCACTTATTCTGCTGAGCCATCTCTCCAGCCCAAAATTTCATTTTGAAGTGGGTGTTTTTTGTTTTTTTTTTTACTGTTCTTTTGTTTTTTAATGTACTTAGTACAGGGTCTACTGGCTTTCACTACACAGATCCTCCTGTTTCAGCCTCTCAAGCCCTGGGATTGCAGGTGCATGCCATCATGCCCAATCTCGTTCTCTATCTCAGCATGCCCCTTCAGTCCCCTGAGCTACCTGGCCAGCCTGTGGCTTTTTGTTTTGTTTTTTTTTAAAGGAGGTTTTTGGACAGTATTGTCTGAACAAAAAATCAACTGTTATATACTGTCATTTTGACCAATATTACCACATCATCTACAGCTAGATGATGGAATTAGGAATGGGGATAAAAATCTTGTCATTTACCCCTGTTGCCTTTATTCTTAAAGCATAGGAAATTGCCGGTAGCCCTCACAGTAGAGACGTTGTATATACTTCTAAGAACTTTGACTATGTCCAAGACCCCAGTAGAAAAGGAGATGGGGACAGGTGTGGTGGCTCACAGGAAGGACAATTTCTTCAAAGCCAGAGTGCAGTAGGGGTGGACCTTTCTAGTTTGGCTCCTTGGGAAAGCTCCCAAGCCACTTTGCAGGACAAAGTCTTTGCTTCCAAGTGATCAGTGGTGCGTGACTACTACTGTGTATCAAGTTCTTTGTCTCATAATCATCTCATAGATTTTTTTTGTCTGGAGACAGGGTCTTGCTGTGTAGTCGGGGGAAGACTGTAAACTCGAGATCCTCCTCCTTCAGTCTCCTGAGTGCTGGGATTAGACATGCACCACTACGCCTGCTCCTCTAGTATTTTCAGTTTGAGAAGACAGAGTGCTATTTTAAATACTTTCCATAATGTCAAATCAATGTATTTTTAAAGAATTTGGAAAGTACAGAAAAGCCCAAGAAGATTACACAAGATACACACTAAAATCTAGATTCAGTTGGCATTTTGATGTTTTCTGATCTTTCTTTCTTTCTTTCTTTCTTTCTTTCTTTCTTTCTTTCTTTCTTTTTTTTTTTGGTGGTGTTGGGGATTCCCAGTGCTAGGTAAGGGGATACCAAGCCCACGCCTGGCTCTTAGTTGTTTCTTATTTTAATTAGTTAATTAATTAATTGTATTTTAATACAGGGTCTCACTATGTAGATTGGACTTATAGTGAGTCTCCTGTTTCCAGCCTCCCAAGAGCTGGGATTACAGGTGTGCACCACCATGCCCATCTCTGTCTCAGTGTGTCCCTGGGGTGGGGCCAGCATGGCAGGCCAGGGGTCGAACCTTTAACCCCCTGAGCTATTTGGCCAGCCCTCCTAGTTTTTTTTTTTTTTTTTTTTAATTTATTTTATTTATTTATTTTGTGTGTGTGTGGCCAGCTCAGCCCACCAGGGGGTGGGGCTGGCTGGCATGTGGTGCTGGGGGATCGAACCGTGGTCCCTGTGCTTTGCTTAGTTTAGCTTGTTCTGAGTAGGTGCTTTAGACCACTGAGCCATCTCACCAGCCCCCTCTTAGTTGTTTTTAATATGAAAAATATTTCTGCCATAGTATATTATACTTGGCTACAAATGAGAGAACAAAAGTTAAATGAAATTAATGTGAATTTATGTTCTTTTAAGTAATAGGTGGGAAAGTCGGCCTCAGCCTGTAGATTGCTGGTGTCTGATCCCATAGTCCCTGGCTAAGGCTGCTGGAGAAGATACCAAAATGGAGAACTCCCTCCCCCATGCCCAGGCACTGGGAACTTGAGATAATAATGAATGATTTCTTGAGTATGACTCTATTTCTGGTATTACACAAGATAGTTTTGGCTGTCAAAATTTGGATCATGTCATAGCTTTTAACAAAACATGAGGAGCATCTGCAATACCAAGTATTTGTTTGGAATACCGGAAATTTATCTTTTCAAACAGTTTGAAATATGGGTCCCTAAAGCAATCCAGGTTATCTTTTATCAGAAATGCTTGGAACTAGAAGTATTGCAGATTTTGGAGTTTGTCGGTCTTGAAGTGTTTGCACAGACTTTGCCTGTTGAGTATCAAAATTTGAAATCTAAAACCTGATATGCTTCAACATGTGCAGCTTTTTAAACATCCCACCTGTGATCTCAGACTTTGGGTAGAGACCCTCCCCCTGGGGTCAAGGTAATTGAGGGCGAGGTCACCTCCCGCTCCACGCAGCCCCAGGTTCCCTGCTTTACATGCTGGCACTATGCTTTTTTGCAGGCAGGTGCCACATCCATGTGGGCTTCGTGCTGCGGGCTGCTGAATGAAGTCATGGGCACTGGAGCCGTCAGGGGCCAGCAGTCGGGGTTCCCGGGGGGCGCTGGCCCGTTCCGATTCACACCACACTCAGATTTTTCTGCCTACCCACCGGCACCTGCAGAAGGGCCTAATATAGTCTGCAAAGCCTGTGGCCTCTCGTTTTCAGTCTTTAGAAAGAAGGTGAGTCCAGTGAAAGTTTGCATACCAAAGTACGGATGAACAGTTTTGGAGGCTACTTTGAGTAGGCAGTGGCTTCTTTTGGTTTGGTTTTGTCCAGAGGGCTGTGTTGTGCAGGCAGACGCTGAGTATGCAGTGCCCCTCTTCCCTCAGCCTCCTGAGCGCTGGGATTATAGGCGCTGCACCACGCCAGCCTCTTTTTAAATAAGGCAAGTGTTCCAGAGGAACAGACCAGGAAGCGTGCAGTTGCGCTTCCCGCTCACTCCATCTGGCTCAAGTCAACTGTGTTCTACTAATTACATGTTTGCTGTGAGAGGCGGAAAGGCTTTAATTCATTAACACGGGGTGTGTGTTTTCCTGAAGGGCTGCATGTGAACTGGGAATCCGAGCCACCATGCGGTGACTAGTGATTTCCACAGCTTTGGGGACCCTAACATGTCTGTGCAGATAGGTTGGTGTCATGGGACTTGGCAAAAGCCGAAACAAAGTTTAATAGAAGGCAGAAAGAAAACAGCGCTTCCATCCTGGCTCTGCTCTCGATGCTGAGATGCTTCGCTTCCTTTCTGCAGCATGTGTGCTGTGACTGCAAGAAGGATTTCTGCTCCGTGTGCTCGGTCTCCCAAGAAAACCTCCGCCGCTGCTCCACCTGTCATCTGCTGCAGGAGACGGCCTTCCAGAGGCCGCAGCTCATGCGCCTGAAGGTGAAGGACCTGCGGCAGTACCTCACCCTGCGGAACATCCCCACCGACACCTGCCGCGAGAAGGCGGACCTGGTGGACCTGGTGCTGTGCCACCGCAGACTGGGCTCTGAGGACGACCTGGACACCAGCAGCCTCCACTCCTCCCGCTCCCAGGCTTCCAGCTTTTTTACAGAGTCCCTGCTCTCCCACTACACAGTGCCCTCAGCCACCCAGGCCTCCTTTCCAGGCGAGCTCGCAGATGGAACTCTGGCACAGGTAGGAGGGGCTGACTGGGGGCCGAGGCCTGGCCTGCCTGCTCAGGGCTGCACACCTGGTGGCCTGGGGGAAGGCAAGTCCCATCTGAGCTGGCAGGTGCTCCTGAGGTGCAGTGTCAAAGCCCGAGGTCTAAAGGGTCCAAAAGGAGCTCATTGGTTCCTTGGCCTCGGTGACTGGTTTTCCCAGCTAACAGTTAAAATGTCACTGTGGAAGCAGTGGCACAGAGGTAGCACATACTCATTTGTGGCTCGGTGGCCGCAGCCCAGCAGTGTAAGTTCCCAAGCGTGACACCGGGTCATCCTTGCCATAGGGAACTGTGTTAATGCAGGTAGTGAAAGCTGCCGGATCAGGGACAGTGCAGCTGTTCACTAACTGAACATCGTCCCCTGGAGGGCCCAGTGTGTCCTGATTCAGTGACCCTCAAGGGTTGTGCTTGCTGCTGTTACACGTGGGGCTGGCTCTGAAACGCCGGGGCAGTGTCACTGCTGTGAGCTCACTGCTCAGGCAATGAGGCAGGAGGGTTGTGAGTTTGAGGCCAGCCTGGACGGCACACAGCAATCTCGTCTCAGAAGAGGTATATATTTTTCAGTATTGTTTTAGTATAAATGAACTGTGTTCAACAGTTTTCTCCCCAGAAGAAAGGGGTTATTAAAAGCAGAGAAAAACTGGGTCTAACCGCCTTCAAAATATTCCTGTTAGAAAAGCCCAGGCCAGAAATTGTGTTTGTTCACGAGAGCTGGCCCAGCTCTGGTACAAAGCGGAGACGCCGCTGACGCCACAGCACTCCTGGAGAGAAGTGCGGGTTGGAGGCGGGCGTGGGTGGCTGGACGATAGCAGCTTGGTGCGTCCGTGTTGGAAAGTGCAGTGTCTGAAACTGGAAACTGACCCAGACGACTGGAGAGCTGTAGTCAAAATAAAACATGTGAAAAATGTATACAATCCAAATTGAAGGGACTTCGGCTTTTCCTGAAAGAATACTTCTGCTTTGGATTTTTTTTTTTTTTTTTTTTTTTTTTTTTTTTTTTTTTGAGACAGGGTCTCACTTTGTAGTCCAGGCTGGCCTTGAGAACCTGTGATCCTCCTGCCTCAGCCTCCCCAGCGCTGGGATTACAGGGGTGTGCTGCCAGACTCAGCTTCACTAGAGGACTACTGAGAGCTAGAAGCAGCACTGCCACCAGTGAGGAAGCCTAGAAAGTCTTCTCCAGAGTGAGCAGTCTAGTGCAGCCAGGTCGGACGGCCCTCATGCTTGTGTGGAACCCAGGCCGAGTTCAGCGCCTTCCTGCCTCTAGGCTCCAGCCACACTGGCCACCTGCAGCCCCTCTTGGCACCAGCGCAAGGCCTTCCTCTGGTCCTGGTCCTTACCCAGGTGACTAGGCAGGCAGTCAGCAAGGCCTGCTCTTGGGAACGGCGGCTCTCGGATTAGAGGTGTGGCGCAGGCCAGGCGCTGGGTCATTTTGCTGAGCATAGGGGAGAGCTTTCCCCTCAAAAGTGGGGCTGTTCCGGTGTCCGCAGGTGCAGAGCGAGGCGGCTTCCGCAAACACGGAGGACGAGGACGAGGAGGAGGAGGAGGACGACGACGATGATGACGACGACGACGAGGAGGAGGATGAGAACTTGGAGGAGGAGGTGAGGCCGCAGGGCCTGGACACCTGTTCTGAGTGGCATGAGGGAGACACGTGCCTGTGGGCCTGCTCTGGTCAGCGCAGCTGCTGCTCTGGCTGGCCAGAGTGGGACTCAGGCCCAGTGTTGGGGGTGACAGCGACTGCTCTGTTTGTAGATGCCTGGGCTCTCCAGGAAGCGGGGCAGAGCCTCCCTGTCCGATCTGTCCAGCCTGGAGGAGGTGGAGGCCATGAGCGTGCGCCAGCTCAAGGAGGTCCTGGCGCGCAACTTCGTCAGCTACTCGGGCTGCTGCGAGAAGTGGGAGCTGGTAGAGAAGGTCAGCCGGCTGTACAAGGAGAACGAGGAGAACCAGAAGTCGTGTAGGTGCACCCGCGCTTGAGCCTGCCACTGTCGGCAGGCACATTGCTTTGTGAGACAACTGCGTAACTTTTCAGTGAGGACAAATCCTGTTTACAGACCAAGAAACAGTAGGTTTGGTCGTAGGTGCCAGGTGAGTGGGGCAGCCCTCGTCCAGCCTGGTTTTATCATCCCTGCCTGCCTCAGGAAGCTGGAAGAAACCTTGCTTTCTCACCGCTCTGGGCAGGTTGTCATCTCAGCCTCAGTTTAAAGGCACCCCGAGGCCCCTCTGAGGCCACACACGCACCTGTGTCTTCCTGTGCTCGCTCTCAGCTGAGGCCCTCTGGTGTGGAGGGACGTGTGTTGTTCAGAGCATGTCTGGAATCTCCTGGTGGCCTGGCCTCAGCTGCTGTGCCAGCGGACCCCCCATGGCGCCCTGACCCCCTTGGGCTGTCTGCTCAACACCCGTCAGACGCAGAGGTGAAGGGAACCCCGCCAAGGCGCGCCCTGCTCGTGAGGCCCGTCTTTCAGTACCGCCCTCCTGCCACAGGCTGGCCTGCCCTTTGGCAGTAGTTCTTGTCTGTTCTGTGTACCCACCGTCGGGATCCCGGTCCCCTCTGAAGACAAGGTCTGCAGCCATAGCACCCTGAATGCGCCTGGCCTCATCTTGAGTGCAGACAGACCTCTCGGTCACTAGGTCAGGGCCAGATCTTGGCGGAGGCAGTCGTCACCTTCTCCCGGGCCTGGCGCCCTTAGCACCAGGCCCAGGCCTGCGTGGGGAAGGCCCAGGGCAGCACATGCGTCTCCTCGTGACGTGCATGGTCATTCCTCACTTGCTCTGCGCACAGGAAGGGCTGCATGCCGCAGGTCAGCCTCGGGTCTGTGTTTACTCTAGGTACAGAGTCAACATAGCCTCAGCACAAACCCCAGAAGTGATGGCAAGGCGTGGAGTGGAGGTAGCTAATAGCAGAGCGAGGTGCCTCCTAGCTGGCAGAACAAGTGGGAGCAACGGCTTCCTGCGACGCTGGGGCCCCAGAGGGCAGGTGGCGCCACAGGCAGCGTGGGCAACCCCAGCTCTCCTTTGCCTTGTAGATGGCGAGCGGCTACAGCTGCAGGATGAGGAGGACGACAGCCTGTGCCGCATCTGCATGGATGCCGTCATCGACTGCGTCCTGCTCGAGTGCGGACACATGGTCACCTGCACCAAGTGCGGCAAGCGCATGAGCGAGTGTCCCATCTGCCGGCAGTACGTGGTGCGTGCCGTGCATGTGTTCAAGTCCTAGGCCGCACTGCCCAGCTGGACCCCAAACATTTCCGTGCACAGAGTGACTGGAAACTCACTGTTCAAAGGCAGAAGCTATTTTTAAAAATTATTTTCATTACTAATGGGGACAGGCAAGTTCATCCTAAGTCGAAGACACACTGGTCGGCACCATCAGTCTGTGGACACTGGGCCCACGTTCCGTGGGGCTTTCCCTTGTTCCTGGGAGCCCAGACTGCTGAGGTCGGCGTGGTGCCAGCCTGGGGTCCTGGCGCTGGACTCCTTTCCTGCGTGGACAGCACTTGGTGGGGTGAGCGCACTGTCACAGCGGCTGATGGGGCACGTGCCTCACGTGGCCCTGCGACTTTCCCATTACTAGTTATGTGTATTTTAAATGCTAACATTTGATGAATGTAAGTTTCCACATCGTTGCTATTTCTGCATTTTAACCTAATTGGGAACGGATGTTCCGTAGTCAACTGCCAGGGCCTTAGACTAAATGTGTCCCTTTCTGTTCAGGTACAGCTTTTTATAGCAAGGGCTGCCTCTAGCTTCTTACGTTACAAGAGTGAGTGTTATGTTCTTATTAATTAGTGTATGATCAGTTTACACTGTTTTGTAGGGTGAAGGTGTATTTTTTGTGCTACCTGCTAGCTAATTTCAACTTTAGAAAATAAATTCAGATGTAAAAAATGCTTTACTTCACGTCTTCCTCCGCTTCCATAGCTCGCTTGTATGTAGCTGGGATGGGCGACTGCCCTGGCTGGGATTGCCTGGGGTGAGGGTGCAGTACTGGGGATTGAAACCGGGGCCTTCACACTGAGCTATGATCCCCCATTTGTTTGTTTTTGTATTTTAGGGAAGGGTCTACAGGGTGTTCAGGGTCTCTACTACATCAGACTCGTAGTGATCCATTTGTTTACAGCCTCCCAAGAGCTGGGATTACAGGTGTGCGCCACCACGCCCAGTCTCAATTGCTGTCTCAGTGCACCCCAGGGGGGGAGCTGGCATGGCAAGCCTGGGGGTCGAACCCCTGGCTGGCGCACCTGCTTGCAGGCGCTTTAACCCGCCGAGCTATTTGGCCAGCCCTCTCCATTTGGTTTTTAAAATTTTCAGTCCCTCGCTGAGTACCTTTGTTGCCCAGACTGGGCTCAGACTTGAGAGCCTCCTGCCTCAGCCTCCCAGAGTGCTGGAGGTTCCAAGCCTGTGCCACCAGGCTCAGGTCATCTAGTATTGTGCTAGGCTCTGCATGGTTTGCTTCAGGGGGTGTGTGGAGGAGCCAGCCTCTGCAAGTCCCAAGGCTTTTGTGCTAAACCTCACCTTCCAGAGTGGCTGCACTGGCACCAGGGCCTGGTGGTGTGCTGGGTGCGCAGCATGCGTAAAGCTCTGGGTCCTGCCTCCCCCAGAGCGATATCGCAGCCCAACTCTCAAAAGATGCATTTCTCCGGTCCTTGGGTACACACAGCAAGTGAGCCATTTGCGCTATTAGCTCACGCAGCAAGGTCCTGCCAAATGTGCAGGTCCAGCTTGGTCAGGGTGGCTTGTAGTTGAGTCCAGATGCGTTCGGCCCACTGGCAGTGGGCAGAGGCTTTCAGGGATGGCGGTCTTGCCAGGCAGGTCGCCCGCTGTCTTCCAACTCCACAGAAACACACTTTTGTGTAGTACGATCAGGGTCAAGTAGTGAGTCAGCAGACACCAGAGCAGCTAGCCATGTGCTCTGGGAGACGAGCGAGCCTACCATCAAGTGTGGGGCAGAAAATCTGGTAACTGCAGAAAGCACGTCTTCTGCCTTGGCTCAGTTTGCACTCGGAAGAGAGCACAGCCACGAGAGGGTCTGGAGGCCGCCCCTGCCCTCGGAGCTGGGCGAGTGCCCAGCCTGAGCCGCCTGCATCTGCCCACGGGAGGCTTTTCCAAGGAAACGCCTGAAACAACACTCACCATGCCCTTAACTTGGTAGTAGGAAGTCTTTCTAAGTCAGGCCAGCAGGTGACAGGAAAACATTTAAATAGAAGGGTGCAGGTGCTGCGTGTATTGAAAGTTAAATTTAAAGTTTCAGATTTATAGTCTGGACCTATGGCAGCTTGTCTGCTGGTTCCTTTGGATTTTCATGTTAGATCTTCGCCCTTCCTTTATAGCCGGAGTAGAAACCCGTATCTGTGACAGGGTATAATGGGAGCTTCGAAGAAAACACCCTACTTTTCTATTACAAACTTTTACTTCAGTAGCAGCCAGCTGTGAAGAACAGCAAGATGTGCGCGCAGCGTCAAGCTAGGATTTTTACCCACATAATGCCGACAGGTTTTGCATCTCGGTACCTGGACGTCACTGGGGGTAAAATGACCCACACCGCTCTTCTGTCCTAGAAACATGTATTCTACCGTAAATGGAATGCGGGTGCCAGTCGCTGAGCCTGGGGAAAGCCGAAACCCGCCTGTGAATTTGCCCACTCGGACATGAACAGCAAGGTGTATCAGGAGATCCCAAGCGGCAGCAGGGAGGTTTACCTGTGAAGGGCACTGCGCTCAACTTCTGTGCATTTAGGACTTCTTTTAAGCTTTCTTTTGATTTTTCTGGCAGAAGTAACCCAGTTCAGTACAATGGTACAAAAACAAATGAAAACCAGATTTGCAAGTTTTGGAGGTCAAAAGTGAACCATCAGATCATTCATGCATGGAAGATGAAGATAATGACTTGGACCACGTGAGCCAGAGTTCCTGTGACAGAAACAGAGCCAGAACCAACAGGTACCGCCTGCCGCGCCAGCCCCACCCCCGGGGTGTGCAGAGCCTGCAGTGAGCCTGGCAGGCCTGCAATCCCAGCACACGGGGGTCTGGCAGTCAGGATCACTGTGGGTCTGATCTGTGTAACGAGACCCCACAACCCTGAACTAAATACAAGAGTCACAGGGAATAGAGGTCCCCCTGATTCAGATGACAAAACAGCAATGTGAGTGCATATTTGACTAGGAAAAACAGTACAAAATGGTCAGGAAACCGAATGGGATGATCCAACGGAAGAACTATGTGTGAAAATACGGTGAGGATCCTGGGCGAGGTGCAGCCTGTTCTATTGGCCTCTGAATGCCAGCACTGCCATTCTGTAATAGAAATGCTAGGTGTCGTGAAATACAAGTAAAACGTGCTGTACGCACCAGTAACTATACTCAAAAATGGGTCATGACACTTCACTGATGGAACTGAAAGCATTCACAGCCACTTGGCATGGCTTTCTCAGGGTAAGCAGAGGAATGTCAGAGATTTACACGAAAGGTGGTGGGTATGGGCTTGAGGTCTGTAGAAGAGCCCCCGTGGTGGCTGACTGTGCTAACTTGAGATGTTCAGAAGCTTAACTAAATTGGTTCAGCAGTTCTATACCTCAGGGTGCAGAGGCCCCATCCTAGGGTGGCTCATCCCTGGATGAGGTACAAGGAAGGACAGACAGGTTTCCATTCTCTGGAGGAGCTCCAGTCGTCATTTTCAGCTTGATCATGTTGTCTCCTGGCTTCTAGTGCAGACTCTTTGGCCTCTGCCTTGGATCCTTCAGCCTTCTGGGGTAGACTTGTCAGTTTTCTGTCGAAGACCATGAGCCTCCTGATGTGGAACCTGCACGGCCACTGCAGTGAGCTCCAGACCTCGGGCTAAGTCTCTTGGACTCGTGTGCAGACGCCCCCTGCACGCCTCCTCATCCAGCTCTGTGACTGACCTTCCTAAGCCAATCTTGTAATTTTTCATACACTTGTCTATCTGTAACATAGCTGTTTTTAGTAAAACCCTGATATAATCACACTTGAGATTTCGTTTCCTTCAATGTTGACTGAGATAGGTCATGAACCGCTGTTCTCTGCCATGTACACCATTCTGCGTGAAGCCAGCTCCCAGATTATGGACTGAAGCCTCAAACTGAGCTAAATAAATCTTTCCTTCCTTTTTTTTTATGGAACTGGGGATTGAACTTGGGCCCTTGCACTTGCGAGGGAAGCGCTTATTCTACTGAGCCATCTCCCTGGCTTCTCCTTCCTTAAAAAAAAAACCAAAACCAAAAACTGAGGTAGCCAGGCCTAGTGGCCTGTAATCCAAGCACTGGGGAGGCTGAGAGAGGAGGGTCACTTCAAGTTCTAGGCTAGCCTGGGCTAACAGCAAGTTCAAGTCCAAGACCAGCCTGAACTGCGTAGCAAGTTGCTAGATTAAAAAAAAAAAAAGGCAGCTTGAGGTTTGATGACAAAAACATCTGCCAAGAAAGAAAAAGAATTGATAATCAGGCAGCTATTTGCTTATGATTTGAGATCTGTGGGTAATTATCTAGCAATTTACCCTATACTTGAATACATGGCTACTGATGGTTGCTGTAGCTTCAGGCTGTATATTCTCCCAAAACCTTCAAAATCTAGCATAAAAATGTACGCCCCTTGTAGACAGGGAGACTTATTTGGGACTTGAGGCGGGGGTCGTTTTGAGCCAGTCAGGCTAGGCAGTTCAGGTTGGCCTTGAACTCAACCTTGTAGCCAGGCTGGCCTCAAACCGGGGCTGGCAGATCCTGCGGCCTCAGCCTCCTGAGCACCGGGACACACCCAGCTACTCTGTCAGCTTAGACACCTCTCCTGGAGCCCCGCAGCCAGGTCCTACTCATAGAGCAGAGCACCCAGTGAGGGTGAACAGGCTTCTCCCTCCCATCTCCCAAGCTAATCAGAAGGTGACACTCGCCCACTGGCATACCAGTGTCCAACTGAAGTTAATTTGCTAACATACAGGTTGAGCAGCACAGGAACTACACATGCTGACAAAGCAGAAATTCCAAATGAAATGCTGCAACTTTGAAACAAGTGTGTGGTATAATCTTCAGATTTCAAAATGTGTAACACTGGCCTCATTTATGGAAAAGAAAAACAAGCCTGCACTGATGATGTCAACACTGCACCGTGATGGGAATATTGATAGGGAAACCTTGACAAATCCAGTCTGAGGTGGAAACTTGCTACAACAAAACCAAAGGCAGAGGAGACACTGTGGAGAAACACAAAGCATTCACCAGTGGTTGTTTTACTCAATCCAAACATATGGCATAGTTTGATAGTTTAACAAACTAACAATCTAGTACTTGGAAGGTTCAACCAGCCTCGGCTACAAAGTGAGCTCAAGGCCAGCCTGAACTGCAGAGTGAGACCCTGTCTCAAAGATTTTTTAAAAAGAGATTGTGCCAGGTTTGGTATCACACACTTGTAATATCAGCACTTAGGAGGCTGAGGCAGGAGGACACTGAGTCTGAGACCGGCCTGGGCTACATAATCAAGCTCAAGGGCAGCCTGTACCACCTAGACTGTCTCCAAAAAAAAAAAGATTGGAACTAGAACTCGTAAGAGATCATTTATAGCAGAGGAAAAGCAAAATGTTTCTGCCCAGGAACTAAAAACAAAACAAAACTATGGAGCACACTGGTGAGCTGACAGGTGCTCAGGCAGGCGCAGGATCAGAAAGACCTGCCACAACAGGAGAGCCAAAAAGGTGTCACCGTGCCCCACGGGAAGCCAAACAGGCGCTGTGGGGCAGGCAGCACTTGTGTGGGGGAGACAGGCGGCGCGCGAGGAGAGCGCCTCGTGTGGGCCGAAGCAGCAGTGCGTTCCATGGCAGCCTTGTCCTCACACTGTAGCGCACACAGGTCTTTACTTTTTACTTTTATGTATCTGGTACAAGGTCTCACTATCTGCTAACAGGACTTGCCGCGCGCCTCCCATCCTCAGCCCCCCAGCGCAGGGATTACAGGCGTGCGCCTGCGCTTGCCGGAGCAGGCGCTTAGTCTGCTGAGCTAGCTCACCTGCCCTAGGTTTTACTTCTGGTATTATTGTTAAGTTTTGTAAGCAAGTACACAGCTGATATGAAAGTCGATGTTTATTCTAAACATGCAATACATGTTAACATTTCATTGATAATTTGCTGTTAATTATGCATTGTGTAAAACCTGACAAAACAGCAAGACCAGCGACATGTCAGGTAATGGCCTATAAAAAGGCGAGAAGAGCAGGCAGCCAGGGACGCAAAACACATGCTGTCAGTGTAAGCGACACATGTATACGGGACATGCTGTTGTCACGCGTGACGACTGCTTTAGGTGTGATGACTGATAATTTTTATTTTTTTGGTATCATGCTATTGGTATTTTCTGTGTAGTCCACAATAGTTGTTATTTTTCTAGACTTGGTACACTAAAAGTCAAAGTTGAAATTTTGATGTTTTATAAAAAATATTAAAAATTTAATATTTATTTTTTCCCTAAGGGACTCATTGCTTACTATTTATTTATTTAGTGGAACCGGGGATTGAACTCAGGCCCTTGCGCTTGCCAGGGAAGCGCATATTCCACTGAGCCATCTCCCTGGCCCTCATTGTTTACTATTAAACTTATAAAGTTAAAATTACTAATTCATCAATAGAAATATTTTAAATGTGGGTATTATACACCCACAATAATGTACCTTTATGACTCCTGACTTAGTGAGCAGCCACAGTGACAGCCTGACGAGGCAGCCAGCCACTGGCATCCGTGGATACCCGGGTGGGTTCCACTGATCCCGTGAAGACCAGTCATCCAAAAACTTGTGCTAAACTTGTCTTGTTTGTTTCTGGTCATTCCCTCAATAGCAAGTGAACCACTGATTTCTAGGGCGCTGACACTGACAGGTGTGAGCCGTGGGGGGATGATGTGAAGCGGCCGGAGGGAGGGCCCAGGGTGCAGCTCGGGGTGAGATCCTGCCCCGCTCACCTGTGGCCTCGCACACCACACACGCCAAGGGTGCGTGCAAGCCACGCCCAGGCGCCATGCATTTCAGAAAGGGACTTAAAGCATCCAAGATTTTACCCTGTGGGGAGGTCCCAGCGCCAGCACTTAGGGACACTGGGGACAGAGCTGACTTGCCTGGCAGCGGGTGAATATCTCACCGGCAGATGGTGCCTCTCCATGTCCATGGGCCAACAGGTGGTCACTAGGGGTGAAACTCAGAAGGTCCATGCTGGAATACAGTGACACCACCTTTTCCCAGCCCTCAAAACCTGAAAGGGTATCGTCTGAGGCAGCAGTGTGCAAGTTCCCTGGAGAGAGGAGTGGAGACGGAAGCCTGATGTAACTCAGCAGGCTTGGGTGTGAGGCTCGGGCCGGCCACACTGGAAGGTTGCCACACAAAAGCTCTAGACCGAAACTGGCCTTGCCCAGGCTCACGAGTGCCCTCCGCTATGGTTCCTCCCATGGAGACGCACCGTCTCTGCGCCACTGTGCATTCCTGTGGTGGCCTGGATAGCAAGCCCCTCCTGAGCCACCTGTGTGCTTCAGGGGCCCGTGCACAGAGCCAGAGCCTGGCCTGCCCACAGCTGGAAGGCTCTGTGCAGGGCACTCACTAGTAGCAACACTCACCTGAAAAGCGCAATGACCCAGAGGTACTCCCAGGCAAGAGGCACCATTCCCAAACAGTGGGCCAAGGACGCCAGGCCCACGAAGCTAAGGTGCACTCTTAGCAGCTACAGCGCCACTGGGATCCACAGTTAGTATGAGTTTAAAAGGGTCTCGGGATTTACACTAAGAGGCATGATTTCAGAAGGGATTTGATTTCATGCCACTGTTTTGTTTTTTGAGACAGGGTCTCCCTATGTACTTTGGGCTAGCCTCGAACTCAGAGTGACACTCCTGCCTCAGCTCCCAAGTGCTAGGATTATCAGCATGTGCCACCATGTCTGGCCATATCCCTTTTAGTAAGACCATTTTCCCAGCACAAGAAAATAAGAAGAGGCAAATACAGAAGAGGACAGAGAGGAATTGTCCCTCAGGCCCAAGGTTTTGTGTGCCTTTGATTACAGAAAAAGAAAGCTGGTTATCTTCTCCATCTTCTGGCTCCCTGGAGCAGTGTTTCTGTATGTGACTGTGGTCACAAGGCACTAGCTAAAAACAGCCCGTGATCTGACATTACTTGTCACTAATTTCTGTGTCTGCCACCTAGGCAAATCACCGCATAGCCAAGAGCCTTCTCGCCTACCAGGACCTTGAGTCTGGGGAACTTCAGGGAAGGGTGATGCCAGTGGTCCCTGCAGGTGGCCTCTTGTCTCCATAGGTGGCCATCGTGGTGGTGCTTAGGCACAGATCTCTGCTGAAGGCAAGACACAGACCACGTCCCACAGGCAGCTGCATGTCTCAGGGGTAAGCACGGTCCCATGCGGACCTCCCTGTTAAATCTCTAGTCCTCTCCTACAACAAAAACCCCCAAAGACCATGAGAGCTTTTTTTGTACAATTGTTTATACAAATTTAACAAAGGTAGAACCGCGTTGGGGAAGGTCTAGGAAACACCACCAGAGACATGGCACTTAAGAATGCAGAACTTCACAACTAGTGAGCAGCCAGCTCGTGGACCTAAACGAAAACTCAACTCACTGTGAAGGAGAGAACCAAGGAAAAGACAGCCTTGCGGGCGCGTTTGTTCTACTCCTTGACTCCGGGATAAATCAGGTCGACAGCAAGTACAGAGCTCATGCTGGAGAAGTCCCCTTCTGAGTGCAAAGGCTGAAGTTTCACTGGTAACATCTTGAGAAAAAGGTGAATTCTCTATGGAAGAAACTTGGCAACATGTCTTACTTCAACTATGACTGAGGCCTATCCACAACATGCTGCGCGACTTCCTGGCGGCATGGCGGGCTCCGGCCTCTGGCTAAACATGCTTTTAGGCAGCAGGCCTCGCCCACCAGCTCAGGTCTGGGCACCTCTGTGGTGATGAAGTACAGGTTAAATTCTCTCCTACCTGAAGGAAACCAGGAAGGTTGGCAATCTCAAAACAATAAAAACACTGGTATGCATTCAAACCTTGCATAAATAACTTTTAAACAATTTGTACAAAAATAGTTCTGCATAATGTAAGATGTAACAAAACCGAAAAATGTATCAGGATGGCAGCAGATGTGGCCTGTGGGCCACATTATGTTGACATCAAAACCCTTGACCGTGCAAGATAGCAGGTGTCCAAACAAAACCACCACCAAAGAAACCTCCAACCCGAGCCCGCGCTTGCCAGTTCCACTCCTGAGCGGAGCGTCTCTTCCCGAGGCCGCGGCAGCGGGCCCAGCAGCAGCGCAGAGGCCTCGCAGGCACCCGGCTCACTTGCTCAGTGAGCGGGAAGTGGCTTCTCCAGGGCAGACTTGCAAGTGGAATCGTTCTGTCGCGTGCGGTCCCGAGTTGCAGCGGGAAACCAAGTCCTCGGTGGCCGTAAAGTCTTTCCCTGCCCGCCACCCCCCACCCGCCCCGTATTTACACACTTGTCCACGGACTAACTCAGTTTCTGCAGGAGTTTTTCTTCCACTTGCCCAAACTGGACACTCACGGACATCTCGGCGATGAACTGCTCACAGCCTTCCTTGGTGACGTGCTTGCAGTACCTCAGGTCAATGTGACAGATATTCCCACAGCGCTTGAAGAAGGACAGGCACTGATCAGTGACTTTATTGCAGTCTGCAGGGAAGAGGAAATGCCATGAGGGAGAACTCTCAGAGTTCATAGGCCCCAGACCCAGAGCTCCTTATTCCAGCCCAAGACTTAGAGGATGCTCAAAGACACCTGGATGGGGACAGGTTCCAGTCACCAAACCGCACATGTTGGGGGGCTCACTGAGTACCGGGGTGGGGCTGGAGCCCACACGAGAACCATGTGCAGCAGGCATACAAGGTCTCCTAGCAAGCAGCTTGCCTGTCGATGCTCCTGAGGGCCACCTCGAGGTGCCTTTCTAAGCACACGCCTAAAGGGTCAGCTGTCTAGCTCAAAGGCCTGTGGTCTCCACGTTCAGCTCTTGAACCCGCAGTCAGGGAACAGTCCTATCCCTCAAATATCTTAGCGACCAGGGGTCCCAGGCTGGGAAGTCGGCCTCAGAAACCATGACGACATCTGTTTACCTGTCATCTAGGATATGTTTTTGGCAAAAATGTCTAACCTGAATCTAAGCAAGCTCCTCGCCCTCACCTGGAGTTCCCAAGAGAAATGGGCGAAGAACAAACCCAATGACACCAAGGATCCAGCACACCAATCCTGGAAGCTGATGGTGCTACACAGGGCCTGGGCTGGAAGGATGCCTGCAAGTGGTGCACACTCGTTGAGGACTAGGGGGGCAGGCAGTGGAGGGAATGGACTGGAACCCAGGCTGCACCTCATGCCCAGCCCATTCTAAGGACAGTTGTTGATAGTGAAAGGCTTCAGTACGTGGCCCAGCTGTCACAGAGAACAGTGTGAAGTCAAATGAAAATGTAAGGGGATAATTGTATCTTGTCATATTGGCAAGATCCTTATCCAGATTCTATTTAAAATGAATCAAGTGTAACTGGGCACAGTGGCACACACCTGTGATCCTAGCACTCTGTGAGGCTGAGGCCAGAGAATCACAAGTTTGAGCCCAACCCAGAAACTTACTGAGAACCTATAACAAAACATTAAACAAAGGTCTGGGGGCACCCGGGAGATAGCTCAATAGAATAAGTGCTTCCCTGGCAAGTGCAAGGGCCTGAGTTCAATCCCTGGTTCCAACAAAAAAAAAAAATTAACTCTTTGTGGCCGGGGAGATGGCTCAGTAGGATAAGCGCTTGACTGGCAAACGCAAGGATCTGAGTTCAATCCCCGGTTCCGCAAATAAATAAAATAATAATAATAATAAATAAATAAATAAATAAATAAAGGTCTGGGGAAGTAACTGAGTGTAAAAGTACTGGGTTGGATCCCCAGCCAAAAACTATCTCGGGGTGATCCTCCTGTCTCAGCCTCCCAAGTGCTGGGGTTACAGGCATACCTCCCCACACCCATCACAAGTTGTCTTCTGAAGCATCTCACGGTGCGTTTCCCAGCTTTAGTCTCACTGAAGAACAGAAGGGCCCGCTAGTCATCTGCCCTCCATGCCACAGAGCAGCCAGCACTGTGCTACTGCACTGCAGCATCCTCACCCCGTGACAGCTGTGCACACAAGAACACAGCCAGCTGTGAGGGGAAGTGAGTCTGCAGTCTCCAGCCCACCACACGGCACAGCACAGGCAGGACGGAGCAAGCGCCGCCCAGCATTCACACCTGCTGCGCCTGGCAAAGGCACAGGGGAGGGCACAATGCCAATTTACAGTTCTTCTGCCTGAAAAGGTTCAAAATGTAATTGGTGGTGTGGAAAATCTTCATGCACAGGGCTGTAAGTTAAAGTAATGTTCCTGGCTTTTATAAGAGTGAAAGGCAGATACTCAAAGAATTGGGAATTAAAAACTTCAAAAAGTACAGCCCACAGTAAAGATGAACTCCTATTTGGTAACAAAATTAAGCTGTAGACAGATCAAAGTATTAAAAAGAAAAACACACGGATGACAAAGAAAAATAAATGCTCTGTTTGCAGATGGCACCACTGAGACTAGCACTGGATCTCACTGACAAATTGCTTTGAACTTTTGATCCTCCTGCTGCAGCCTTTCGAGTACCTGGGCCACCACGCCTGGAAGATGATGCAATTTTCTACACAGAAAAACCCTAAAGATCTTACCCTCAGCTTAGTGTGGTATGAAGACCTACAATCCCAGCACTCAGGAGGCTGAGGCAGGAGAACTGCCTGGAGGTCAAGGACAGCCTGGGCCACACAGTGAGTTAAAAGTAGCCTGAAAATGTCAGAATCACCCACAAATGTAGAGATGCAATGAAACTGCTATGAATCCCTCAATGATTTTTTTTTCTTGAACTTACAAAAAATCCATCTACAACTCTAGAGAGAAATGCAATGGATCCCAACTTGCCTAAGCAATCCTGAAGAAAAAAATGAAGCTCAACAGTCACCTGCTCATCTCAAAACTTACTAAGAACAAAAGCAAACAAAACGGCAGCACTGATACAAGGACACAAATAGGCCAACAGGATAGAACCAAAAGCCCCAAAGTAGACTCTTTTTTTTTTAATTTATTTATTTATTTATTTATATGTGTGTGTGTGTGTATATGGCCAGCTCAGCCCACCTGGGGGTGGGGCTGGCTGGCATGTGGTGCTGGGAGATTGAACCGCGGTCCCTGTGCTTTGCTAAGCTTGTTCTAAGTAGGTGCTTTAGACCACTGAGCCATCTCACCAGCCCCAAAGTAGACTCTTGAGAAAAGCCCGATGTGGGGGTGCACACCTGTAATCCTAGCACTTGAGGCTGAGGCAACCTGAACTACATAGCAAGGTTGCCCTCACCCCAGAAAAAATTGCCAAGGGTATGACCATCCTTGAAGAGATGGTCTTTACACCAAGTGATAGGAAAATGGATATTTATATGCTAAAGAATAAAAGAAGACACCTCCACCACCACACACCATGTACAAAAATTAACTCAAAATGATTATAAACTAAAACTAAAATTCAAGGGCTAGACATACTGCTCAGTGGCGCAGTGTCTGCCTGGTAAGCACAAAGTGCTGAGTTCCATTTCCTGTACCCCAAAACCTTCAGAACACACAGGAGAAATCTTTGTGACATGTGATTTGGTAATAATGATTTTTTTTGTGCGTGTGTGTATTTTAGGGAAGGGTCTGCAGGGTGTTCAGGGTCTCACTACTAGTATGGACTTGTAGTGATCTGCCTGTTTACAGCCTCCCGAGAGCTGGGATTACAGGTGCATGTCACCACACCCAGTCTTGGTAATGGTTTCTGATGCGACACCAAAAACACAAAAAGGAGAGCAGGAAATAAATGACATAAAATTTTCTTTGAAGGACTGTCTGGCTCCATAGTTCAGGCTGGCCTTGAATTCTCATTAATCATCCTGCCTCAGTCTCCCAAATGCTGGGGTTATGGGTGTACAGCAGCAATCTCAGCTCAACCGAATTTGTTTGTTTATGCATCTTTTTGAGACAGGGTTTAATTTAACTATGTAACCCAGGCTGGCCTCCAACTCCTGCAAATCCTGCTCAGCCTCATGCGCTGGGATTACAGGTGTGCACCAGCACACCCAGCCTTAAACAAAATCCGTAACTTTTTAAAAAAATTTATGACTTCAGAACTGAGCACACCTGTAATCCCAGCCCTCTGGTAGGCTGTGGCAGGATCTTGAGTTCAAGCCTGGCCAATCAATTTAGGATATTCATGAGACCCTGTACAAAACAAAACTGGGGCTGGTGTGGTAGTTCCACCAAAGGCCCTGGATTTAATGTCCCGTACTATATAAACAAAGACATTTCAGTCAAAAACGCTGGACAGGTATGGAGAAACTAGAATCCTTGTGTACTACTGGGGAGAATGTAAAACGGTTCGGCTGCCACAGAGAACAGCTTGGTGTTTTCTCAAAAGTTACACAGAACTTCTGCATGATCTGACAGTCTCATAGCTATACACTGTACTCAGAAAAATCTAAGTAGGGACTCACACAGGAAGTATATGCCTGTTCATATCAGCATCCTTCAAAACAGCCAACACACAGAAACAACTCAAGAGCCCAGGTAAATAGGTAATGAATAGGTAAATGGAAGTGGAATGTACGTGCAAGAGAATATAACGCAGCCTTATAAAAGGAAGGAAATTCTAACATGCCAAGCCACAGCTGAACCCTGAGACAACTCCACTTACTTTTTAAAAAAAAAATTAAAAATCATATAGTTATTTATTTGCTTATTTATTCACTTATTTGGTACAGAGTCTTGATACGCAGTTTGGACTTGTAGTGATCCTGCCTCAGCCTTCCCAGTGCTGGGATTACAGGCATGGACCACCATGTCCAGTCTGGGGGGCCAGCATGGCGCAGTACTAGGGATTGAACCCATGTCCTTGCGCTTGCCAGGCAGGCACTTAGACCACTGAGCTATGTCCCCAGCCCATGATTCCACTTTCTGGAAGTATCTATGAGGTAGCTGCAACAGTCAAAAGTCTTCGAAACAGAAAAGTGGAATGAGGCTGGGGAGATAGCTCAGCGGTGTAAGTGTCTGCCTGGCAAGAGCAAGGTCCTGAGTTTGATCCCCAGTACACATGCCCACATGCCATGCTGGCTCCAAAACTGGACGTGGTGGCACATGCCTGTAATTCCGGTCCTGGAGAGGCTGAGACAGGAGGATCACTATGAGTCTGAACTACGTAGTGAAATCCAGTATCTAAGAGAGAAAAAAAGTGGAATGAGACTTTGAGGTGCCATCAGGGATAGCGCACTGGTGAGTTATGACTGTGCTGGGATAGTGGCTGCCTCTCTGGGGTGACGAAAACCTTCGGAACTGCTAAGCGATAACAACTGCCTCACACCGAATGTTTCATGTCATTGAATTATTGTACCCAAAAACCATTCAACTGGTCAATCTTTTTTTTTTTGTCTTTTTTTGGGTTTTTTTGGCGGAACCAGGGATTGAACTCAGGCCCAATCTCCCCGGCCCCTTTTTTTGTCTTTTTGAGACAAGGTTTTGCTATGCAGTTCAGGCTGACCGTGAGCTCACTTTATAGCCCAAGCTCGTCTTGAACTTATAACAATCCTCCCGTCTCAGCCTCCCAGGTAATAGGATTACAGACATGTGCCACCATGCCTGGCTAAACTGGTAAGTCTTCTACATTATATATCTTTGCAACAATAAAAAAAAACTCAAAACAAAACAAAAACAAACTATTTCTAGAGAAGAGATGACAATTTAGACTTAAGAAACCTTACCCTTAAAATGTCTGAGCAGGGGCTGGTGAGATGGCTCAGTGGTCTAAAGCACCTACTTAGAACAAGCTAAGCTAAGCTAAAGCACAGAGACCTCGGTTCAATCCCCAGCACCACATGCCAGCCAGCCCCGCCCCCTGGTGGGCTGAACTGGCCACACACACACTAAATAAATAAAAATAAATAAAGTTTAAAAAAAAAAAAAAGTCTGAGCAGAAAGGAGGAGCAGATTTATTTTATAGAGTGCTGCCTTCCCAGCAGCAACAGGAGCACCAGAAGTAGGGCTGAGGACTGGTCAGAAATGGGACTGGCTAACACCTGCCTACAGAGGAGGGTATCTGGGTCTCTGCAGGACAGCAGAGGGCAGCACCCTCTCCAGAGGCAGGCTGAAGGAAAATTACCCTGCCACCTAGTGACACTCCAAGTTCACCCCTCCTACCTTGCCCTAGGACGCTGGCAGCCCAGCCCACACCGCTAGAGGTTGAGGGAGAATGCAGGGACCTTCCAGCATGAGGAAGCTGCTTTCCTGGTTTTCCCGTGCATTACAGCAGGCAGGCTTCAAGCGCCCACCCAGCTTCCCCCAGAGGCTCGGATGAAGAATGCAGCCTGGGAAATAAAAAACACAAGGCAAACTACCTCACATGAAGCTGCCCACACCTGACTTGACCACGATTCCACACGGCTCTGCACAACAGCAGAAATGAAACTCAGTGGAAGAACTATATGATAAAGGGGAAGAAATCAGCTAGAAAATGGCAGAAAGACAGGCGGAAAATAGGAGAAAAAAGAGACGGTATCAGAAGACCAGTCCAAAAGGAAAACAGAAAAAAGAATGAAAGGATTTGCCCATGTTTACAGATTGAGAGAACTTGGTAGATGAAATTAGGCTCAAACTACAGCTGAGCATAGTGGCACACTCCTGTGATTCTAGCACTCAAGCGTCTGAGGCAGGAGAATCACTGCGAATTCAAGGCCAGCCTGGGCTACACTGAGAGTTCAAGACCAGCCTGTACTATAGGTGAGACCCTGTCTCAAATCCCCCCCAGCCCCCCCCAAAAAGACCCCTAATGGAACACAATATAGAGGGCTACTGCTATAGCTCAGCAGCACAGCACCTGCCTAACAAGCATAAAGTTGTGAGTTCCATTCCTGGTACCAAGAAAAAACCAACTTGCTATTATAACATTAAAAAGAAAGAAAATAGGCTCATCAAAAATAGAGGCAAAGGGGGCTGGTGAGATGGCTCAGTGGTCTAAAGCACCTACTTAGAACAAGCTGAACAAAGCAAAGGGACCACGGTTCAATCCCTCAGCACCACATGCCAGTCAGCCCCACCCCCTGGTGGGCTGAGCTGGCCACACACACACACACACACACACACATAAATAAATAAATAAATTAAAAAAAAAATAGAGGCAAAGACAATCACAAACTCAGCAAAAAAGCAGAGAATTGCCAAGGAGATAGCTCAGCAGTGTAAGCGCTTGCCTCGCAAGCACAGCCTAATGAATTCAATCCCTGGTACCAAAGGAAAAAAAAAGGCAGAGAACTGAGATGAAGGACCAGATCATGTGGGACTCTATCTCCGGCTGTGGAAGACAGCAGAGTAGCCTCTCACCCTGAGACCACAGGGCCCCACGAGGGCTGCACACCAAGCTGAAAGTGAGGGTGAGAACGTTCCACGCCCTCTACCCATGAGGCGCCACGGGCCTAAGGAGGGGGTGGGCAGACGAGGGACCGCCAGGTGACGGGAAGCAGGCATGTCAGCTGGGAGCAGCAATGGCAGCAGAGAAAGTGGGAGGCTGCGCCTGCTCCAGACACTGGTCACGTGCCAATGAGCTCACGCGGGGAAAGAAGATCCAATTCTTCTGTGCAGTGTGCTAAGCAAACGAAAACGAGGCAATTACTATCTCTACCAAACCCCAACTCATGCACCACTGTGACACACTACTGTGCCTGGCCTCACACGATGATAGCAAACACTAGCAACTTAACCAAAAACCACAAAGATGGAAGGAGGAGAGGCAGGCACAAGAGGACACAGCAGCAGTGACACCTCGAGTTCGGGGACAGCAATGGAATAAAGACTGAACCTGAGTTGGTGTGACAGCCAGACTCAAATACTGAAGAGAGCACACAAGAGTTTGAGGGGTGAGAACAGGATGACAGGGAAGGACAAGGAGGCCTTGGTGCCCAATAAAGAGTTGTTGGGAGGGGCCAGGGAGATGGCTCAGTAGAATAAGCGCTTGCCTGGCAAACCAAGGGTCTGAATTCAATCCCCAGTTCTGCCAAAAGAAAAAAAAAAAAAAAGAGTTGTTGGGAAATTTAGCCTGAATAGCAGCAGCTAAAAACTGCAACTTTGACACCTGATCCCTCAACCACATTTCTGAACCCTGAAACAGCTCAGGTACCTTCTGGTTGGGGCAGACCGATGGTTTACTCCACTACTTATGGGCGGCGGGGGGCCCAAAGCTAGAAGCTGTTGACCAGGTAGGTAGGCAGACGGATACTCTGTGTCTCTCTTGTCTGTAGGAGATGAGAAGAGGACCCACTGCACCGTGTGCCGGGAAAGAAGAGACAGGCAGCAGTCTGCACATGCTTCTCAAGTATGCTGCAGGGCAGGGCGACAGTGGAACCAGGGTGCCAGGAATGGAGTGGCTCCGCCATCCTGAGGACCCCGCACTTGTCCTTCCCCAAAGGGCAGCCCTGTCATCAGTGTCAGCCCCTGGCCTGAGCCTTGGGCTTGTGGCACTAGGGAAATCTGCTGGACACAGCTCTTTCTTTCACCCTGCTAATAGGTCAACACCTGCCACCGACAGGCTTATTAGGCACAACTGTGGGCTGTAATGGCAGCAAACAATTCAAGAACAGGAAACCCAGTAAGGGGAACCACACAGGCAGCGTGTCACACTAAGTACATGGGGCGAGGGTGTCTCTACTGTTTAGTCATTTCTCAAAAGAAAAAGAAAAAGAAAAAAAGACGTTTTCTCTCCCCTTTTTCCTTGTCCAAACCTGGCAGCGCCAATGATGACCACCAGAGCTGTCCATGACGCCCACAAAGGCAGAGCCTGTATTTCCACCTGACTGCTGGTCATGGTGGGAAGCCTGCCCATGGCCCTGGGCTCACAGCGTTAATATTATAGCCCCTGCTGCCAGGCTCCTGGCACCCGGCCCCATAGCATGTGCTCACCATGTCCACACTGCTTTTGGCAGCAATTACAACTGGAATAGAGACACGCGTCATGCGTGCCTCACCTCTGGACTAGGCCCGTCCCAGCCCCCAGCACCATGACTACATAACACTGGCCAGAGAGGTGCTGGGCAGACGCAGGCCACGCACCTGACAGGTTGATCTCAGTCAGGGAGTCCCGGGTGGTAGTGCCAACCGCGGTGAGCAGGTTGATGGATTGGTCAGTGACGTGGTTACAGTAACTGAGGTGCAGCTTGGACAGCAGGGGCATGTGGCGGATGATGAGTCGCAGGGATGCGTCTGTGATGTCCAGGCCTGCCAGCCGCAGCTCCACGATGTTCCGGAGCTTACTCCGATTGTCCATCTGACCTGGGGGCAGGCACCAGAGGGGCAACCATTCAGGCTGACAGACACCCTAGGGAGCCTATCGACTGAATAGTTAGGGCTACGGATTTCATTTAGCCTTAAAATATTTCCCACAAATCAAAATTCTAACATCTAAAAATCACAAGATTCCAGTCCATTATTAGACATCTAGATTCTCCAGAAAAAACAGAAAATCTAGAAACCTTGACACACATTTCACCTAGCAGCCACCAGCCAAGCCCCTACCTCCACTCCCCTGGCTGGCTGGGAGTAAGAAGCTAGCTTGACCACACGGTGCTCTAAGCCTCACGCAGCCACCCCACACCCAAGTTGATGGAGTCCCAAAACTGGGGACTACAGCTGCATTGTGCGCAGAGCCCCTTCGTATACAAAGGATCTGTGTGTACCCTGAGACAGCTGGGGACAGGAGAGGACTCCATGCTGCATCCCTCAGAGATGGGCTGAGGCCAGACAAGATGTGACAGGGTCAGTGGTCACAACCAGATCTGGCGGCACTGCTCAGACCCTGGCACAGCCCCAGCCTGGTGACTTACCTGGCCTGTTATCTGTGGGTGGTGACAAGAGATCCCGCATCTGGGCATCCTTGAGCCCTTCTACCCACTGGACATCCAGGGTCCGTAGCAGCGGACAACTGGAGCTGCAGAGTGCCGAGACCGCGATCCACGAGCAGCCTGCCAGCACCAAGTCTCGAAGCCCTGGGGAGACGAGTATGGTGGAGGTCAGCAGGAGCTTAGCTCCACTATTGCACATCCACGACCCCAGCGCAGGGCTCACCGGGCAGGCGGTTGATGAGCCAGCTCAGCTGCTTCTTGGAGATGTTGGTCCAGCTGAGGTCGAGGGAGACAGGCTGGCGCCGGATGATGCCACTCAACATGAGGGGCGTGATGGACTTGCAGTGGTTCAAGTCAATGCGGGTCCACAACCGCTTATCGCAGCACCTGGGCAGCAGGTGGGACAGTGTCAGAGGTGGGACTCCCCAGTGAGCCCCTGTTCAGCTGCAACAGCTTCCCTCCCCTCCCACTCACAGAGGCCTTGTGCACATCTGCTGCACACGGGTATCTCTGCTCTGACAGCTGCAGCCCACTTCCTGCCCCCGCAGCAGGTGCAGCACTGGCACCCCCTGGTTTTCCAAGAGACTTACAACACCGCCAGGACATCCCTCCAAGAGCAGATATCACCGGCTTGTACACCCTGCCCAGGGTTCAGGTAGATGTCAAGCTGGTGCTGAAGCCCAGCAGGATCCCTGTTCCTAACTCAGGTCTACTCTGAAGACAAGGCCTCCACTTGTTGCTGCCTTTACTCATTGAGTGTCACGCAGGAAGGCAAACAGCACTACTTCTGACAATAGCACACAGACAGGGCTACTCGCTCATCTCTGGCGGATGCCTGAACTCTTCCAGGGCTCATAGCAAAGTGCTATGACTCAGTGGACCATGCTGAGCTGTGACCCAGGGCTCTGGGCCAGGGCAGGCCCTCACCAGCGGTTCCAGGTCCTGCAGACCCGCATGCAGACACACAGGTCTTGGTGGCTGAGGTAGCTGAAGACGGCCATCCACACCTCCCTGTGCATGACGTGGGCTGCCCCATCGTCCAAGGGCAGCGAGTCGGGTGGAGGGCTGATGGGGGGCGGCCGGATCACATGGCGCTCCATCTGGATGCACTTGGGCGGGGACACAGAGGGTGGGGGCCGGGAGATGACTCGAGGCGGGCTGCGCAGGCCAGGCCCCAGCGGGTGCCGCAGCTCCCGAGGCGTGCCATTGAGCCCCTTGCTGAAGCGGTGGGGGCGCTCACAGAGGCCCAGTGGCCGCTTGGGCTCCTCATTTTCACTCTCAGGCTCCGACTTGATGGGCTGGTGGTTCTCGTGCGCCAGGCTGCTCTCTGTTTTTTGAATCTCATGGTTGAGCTCTTTGCTCAGCTCCTTGCTCAGCTCCTTGTTGGGAAGCCGCCGTTTCCGGCGCATCTTCACTTTCTTCTTCTCCTCTGAGCCCTCAGCCCCCTCCGTGCTGGGCCCCGCAGTAGGTGAGCTGGAGCATGAGTGGTCACTGTCCCTGCTTTTGGGGGGTGCCTCAGGCACATCATCCTCTGGCTCCTGCTTGAAGCGCCGTAGAGGCTTAGTGACTAGGGGCATCCGGTCCTCAGTGTTCTTCCAAGACCTCCGCTGCACAGGGGGACAGGCGAGAAGCCCTCAGTCAGCACACAGTGTCCACCTCTGGAGCTCCAAAAAACAGCCCAAGGTGGGGGGAGGGAGGGGAGGAGGGAGGGAGGGAAGAATGGTACCTTTTTCCTGAAAAGCTTATCTTCTTTGCCAGGCTTTAGCTGTTATGGGAGAGAAAGGACGCAGAGCTTGCGGCCCAGGTTCACACAATTTGGTCCCCTCTGCCCATGTGCCCTCCCCAGGCCCAGGCTATTGGGGTGAGGGGGCAGGACGAGGGGGGGGATGGGACCACCCAAGTGCCATCTCCTCTTCCCATCCGACTGGCAGATGACAAGCCTGCCTGCTGCTTTCAAGGCAGAAGCCTGAGGACAGAGGGTCCCCATGCAGCATCTGCAGGAGCCATCACCTCAGCCTGGCTCTGCCAGAAAGGGCTGGAGCACAGCCTGCAGGCACCTCGGGCCAGCGGGAAGGGAGCAGTTCCAGCGCCACCTTGTGGCCAGTGATGGCAACACCAGTGGTGGAGCCCCGCTGCGGGATGCCCTGGTTCCTCCCAGGGGCAAGTTCAGAGGCTCCACTGTCCTCAGAGCTCAGCTGGCCACAGCCATGGCCAGGCCTCGGGTTGCGCCCGGCTGGGCAGCCCAGGACTCGTTTCCCTGGGGGCCTGGGTGAGTGGGCGGGGCATGAGAGCACCTGCTGCTGGAAGTAAGTGAGACTGGATCTCCACCAGGGGCTGAGGCTGCTGCCTAGTGGGGGCCTCGGCGAGAGGTGAGAGGAGCCAGGGGACGTTTGAAGCGTTGAGGCCTAAAGGGGCAGGAAGAGCAGTGACTCGCTGGGTTTCCCTCCTTTCTCTGCGGCCAGGCTCTTAGCATTTGGGGCATCTGCTCAGGGCAGCCAGAAGCCAGGATCCCCACTCTATTCTGGCACCCACCCTGCCGCCGGGGTCCAGCCACGCCCCCCTCCGCAGCTGCCCCTACCCCCACCCCCGCCACCACCCCTCCCCCCTCCCCACCCCTCCTTCCCTGCTGCCCAGCATACTCGCTTGCGCGCACTCAGCTCCTGGGGCTTCTCGTACTTCCGCTTCCTCCTCAGGTGCACATCATCCGACTTTCGGCGCAGGATGCTGTCCGCAGGCACCTTCTTGGGATGTTCGTCTGATCTGCGCCTCGGAGCCTCCTCACACTCACTCCTCCGCTTGGCCGGCTCCTGCCCTTCCTTGTTGTCCCGGTTCATCTTCTGCTCCTTGAGCAGGGAGCCGGGCAGGTTGGAGGCATACTTAAAGCCAGGGCCACGCTTTTGCTTGTAGGCCAAAAAGGGAGAAGGAACAACCCGACTGTATACCTTCAGAAGTGCCCACCACCAAGCCCCACCCACCGGCCAGGCTGGTCCAGGCAAGGCCCGCGCCCCGCCCATAGCCCGGGACTTCAGCTGCACTCACTTTCCCAGTCTTGCCGGCGTGGTTGCACTTCGGACACTCCCAGCAGTTTGGAAGCTCGTCGTTGACCACACCCTCTGACTCCTTAATCTGGAAGGTTAGGCCTCCACTCAGCAGGTGGGGAGGGTTGCCAGGCCAGGGCCTGGAGGGTGCAGGATCCCCAAAGCCATGTCCATCCCATTTCCAGCCAAAAGAAAACACAGCTGTGCAGAGCTGTGAGACTTGTAACTCTGAGCTAAAACGCCAGACCTTCTGGCTGGGCCATCCCTAGCCATGGGCCAGTGCCCTGATTGTGGAGGTGGAGTCGAGCAGGCCACCTCCTCACCCAGGCCTGGAAGAATTCATTGAGAGATCTAGCAAAGCAGTCAGCGTGGGGCCTGGCACACAGAAAGGACCCAACATGGATTACATCACCTGCAAGGGCTGGGCAACGGATGGGAAGGGCTGACTGCCCAAGCTCAGGAATCCAAGAGCTCTTCAGAGGCTCTTCAGAGATGCGTTAACTATCTGGGGGTGGCAGGGATGAGGGAACCAGACACCCTCCATTCTTTCAGGGCAGAAGTGCTGGCCACAGTGGCCTCTTTCTTTCCAAGGCAGAACCTGCTGCCAAACCCAGACAGGCAGTGGTCACAAGGCAGCCCTGCCCGGAGCACACCAAATGAGGCACAGGAAAGCAGCTGTGTGTCATTTGGGCTGTCCTCCCTGGCCCAGGCCCTCTTCTCCCACAAGCTAGGAGGCAGGACTCCAGCTTCATGTTGGGCCTCTACCTGGCACAACGCCCATGTTCTCCACTTTCTAAGCTGCCAGAACCCTTTGGCTCTGAGGTCCTGCGTGGTGGTGGTAGTGACTTTGGTCTTTCAAGGACACTGTTCCAGAATGACTGCTCGAGGCCCATCATGCGATGTAGAGTCTCCCAGACTTAGTTCGCTGAGAATTCAGCAGCCAAGCCAAGCTGGGCCCTGCCTCCCTGAAGTCTGCAAGGCTGGGAACTAACTCAGGTCAACACCATGAGAGGGCTGAGCTGAGGAGCAGCAGCAGCAGGCCCAGAGCCCGCGGACAACTCACCTTAAGGCATCCAGGGTGGATGATCTCATTGCAGATGGAGCACTCCATGAGCATGAGGTTGAACTTGCCTTCTTCCTCTTCCACTGTGTCCTCCTTCCCCGCCTCGCCACACACAAGGCACACAGCGGTGTGGGGCAGCACTGGCTAAAGAGCCAGCAGAGACAAGAGTCAGCCAGGGCAGGGGGTGGGGGCTGGGTGTGTTTTGACACAGACAGATGGGGACAGACAACCTGGGGACCAGGTCAGGGACACTAAGCTATTCTCCTGAACCTGTCAGGAAATACCATAAGCTGGCCCTCGCACACTCACTTCTTTTACACACTTACCAGGCTAAGACCTCTATGGGCCAGAGGCCCTGTGAGAGTTAGGAATACAGTTAAAATCCCTACCATCCTGAGCTCGTCTTTAGGTGGAGGGAAGCACACAAAGTGAGTAACACAACAGAAAGGAAAAGGCAGGTGGGGATCACAGGCCAGGGCCAGCCGTGAGGAAGGGTAGAAGGGGGCCAGGGTTGAATCTGCAGTCAGGCAAGATCTCCACTTGGAAAAGACCAGAAGGAGATGGACTGGGAGCCTGGCTTAGACCCATGAAGGACAGAGGTCTAAGCCAGGAAGAGCAAGAGGAAGTCACAACCTGCCCTCCCCACAGGCTGATATACACCTTGGTGGCACACAGGCACTGGAGGCTGATTTTACTGGCTCGTCACACTAGATCACAGCCAGCTGTCCCAGCCATCACTGGCTGCTCAGAGCCACACACATACTGCAAAGAACCTCAGTTCAACTAAAGAATGTCTTGGATCATTAATTTCATGTAAACCCCAGCCCTTGAGCACACATCCTTCCATGGAGGAAGTCTGTGCACAGCACTTCCGCCGCTGCGGGGCAGTTCACTACCAAAGTAAAAGCGCTTGTGATGCAGCTGTGAACTCAGCTGACCACCTTCTCCACACAGCCGCATGTTTACCTGAGAGAAAAATGGAGAAAAACAGTTGGCACTGGCACATTTTTTTGAAGACAAAAGAAACAAGCGTGTCATTTCCAGAAAAACAACTGATAGTACTTGGCTGAAATGACAAAATTCAAGTATTTTAGGAAGATGAGAAGTGAGAAACTAACATGAACCACCATGAAAAAGGTTGGTTGGTAAGTTAAACAGGAATTTATACCTATCTGTGTTTTATATGTATAAAGATGTATACAGATTTGTATATATAAAAATAGTACAATGCACCAATATTGGAAAGTCTCCTTCAGTGAACCAACATTTACAAATGACCTATGCATAATGTTACAACCTCCTCATGACCAGAAGGCAAGAATGATGGCTTCTAATGTAACAGAACGAGAGTTCACCGTTCACCGGTAGTTTTGGATCCCACCTTCAATTGACCTTTAAGAAGCTGCCACCTGTTGAGTGCCAGAGGCACATATCTGCATGCACTGCCTATCTGTGGAGTCTGGGCTCTCCTTTTCCTCCTTCAAAACAATCTAGCATGACAAGGGCTAGCCAAATAGCTCAGCGGATTAAAGCGCCTACAAGCAGGCACAGGGGCCAGGGAGTCCCTTCCCTGGGCCTGCCATGCTGACCCTGCCCCCTGGGAGACAGCAATTGAGACTGGGCGTGATGGCGCACCTGTAATCCCAGCTCTTGGGAGGCTGTAAACAGGAGGATCATTATGAGTCTGATCTAGTAGTGAGAACCTGAACACCTCGTAGACCCTACCTAAAAAAAAAAA